ACACTTCTAAAATAAGGTCGCGCTTATAGCATGCAAACTGTGGAGCTCCTTAAACTGATGGAAAGGAGAAGGGGCACTAACTCTAAGCTTGCAAACAACACAAGTGTTCTGAGGACAGCTCCTGGGAAATTCAGGCAAAAGTGAATACACAATCCAGAGGCATATATCGCAACCAATAAATAAGAAGTCCACGAATATGAGTCGGTTGGTCGACTCATTGCTTATGACTGAATAAGTTCAAAATATCCATCATCTTTACAGTGGAGGTGTCCTGTGGCTGGGTGAAGTGAAAGTTAATATCGCCTACTACAATGTAAGTGCCAGCCAATGATTTGCAAATATCTAGCACACCCGGGAAGTCCCGATTAAACACAGCATCAGTTAGTCTATTATTCCAGCTAGGGCAGATAAATGCACAAAAAAATGAACGCTATGCTTGGGCACTGTAAAGGTAAGTTGATCCGCTTCAAACGATGTGTGAGCAAATGGATAGTCTGTGACAAAGGCCAGATAACGGGGTAAGGTGTCCTTATAGATGACAGCAAGGCCACCACCTTTATCTCCTGTCTGCCGATACCAGGTCTCCTGGATAAACAGAATGTCAATCCGTCTATCTGTTATAAATTTGGAGACTGCAAAAAGTTTCTCACAAGACCCAAGCGACCGAGCATTAAATGAGGCGATGCGAAGGTGTCTGTCGCTGGAAGGTTGAAAATGTTCAAGTTTAAAACCCAAATATAAAAGAGGGGAAAAAAAGTTGAATAAGTTTACATTTTAAATAAATCAATAAATTAACTAGAGGTAATTGTCCCAGATGGAAGCTTGATCTTTCCTTGTATGAAAAAAAAAACTTATTTTTTTGTGTGGTACAATATAGGTATCAAAAATTAAATATGTAAATATAAACACAATTATCAAGTCCTGTTATTATTAAATTGTTTTTTCTTTATTATTTGCTTAAAAAAATTACCCTTTACGCTCAATCTTGTTCTTTCAGGAAGCCCAGGGTTTTCAATGTCTTCTTCATTTAATGTTGACTACAAAAAAGACACAATTGTAAAAGAAAGTAAATGAATTAATTTTAAAAAAAAAAAACTAATAGATTGTAATCAAGTATCAATTGAAAAAATTAATTAAATTAAAAAAAGTTACTAACATTTCGAGTACCATAAGTAATTATATACCGGTGGAAAAAAAACAAAAAAAACATCCTATAGGGTTCTCCCATTTCAAAATCTTTTAAGCAGTCAAGATGCCGTCTGACAATATTTCTTGACACTGCCATACATTCTTTTCTTGTTGGAGTAGAAGAATGTGTTAACATGATTTTTATGTAGTACACTATTTCCCTTGCTTGAACTTTGCTTGACCCTAATTAAATCCCTAGCAGACGGTAGCGTTGGTTGTTGGCGTGGCTTAGTCTTTGATGCATCGTGTTTACTACTGCTCTACCAATTGAACATGGTAAATATGTCTACTAGTAGCTCATGGAACGTTCTCGATTTTATTAGAAAAGTAAGGGCGTTTCTAAACGCGTCGGTAGACCCACATATATAAAGGATTGACAGGCACCGAGAGGGATGGGGATTCAGATAGAATCTTTGTAACTTTAAGAGACGTGTATTATTCTTTGTGTTCTTATATATGTTTTTATTCGCATTTCGTCATTGTACATTATTAATTGAAACATTGTACTAACTGTGTACCGGTACAAGATATAACATACTCTGTAAGTTGATCAGTTGTAATTATATTTCTTTTATTGTATAATTGTATTATTACTAAATTAAATTCTATTAATTGTAATTGTTACTGTTTTAGGTGTCGTATTTTTGTAATTGAATTTCTCTATGGTATCGTCCTTTGTAAGTCACTGTTTGAACGAACCATAAAATTAAAATAGGAGATTAATTTCTCTACAAAAGAAGCCAGTGCGTAAAAATGATGTTAGCAAATTGTCTTACAACATCTCGTTGCTCTGTAGTTAGTTTTTTTCTTATGCTATGTTATTTTCTGTTTCGTTTGGGCTAAATCGTTCAAGTTTTAACTTCAATGTTTCTGCCTATTTCTTATCAGAAAAAGTTGGCATATTGCACTGATCTGAGATTTACATTTGCAGACTGAATCCATCGCAGAATGACCATACATCTCCTTCAGGGTACAGGGTGTTACATCTGTAGGGGGTTATACAGCTATAGCTGGAGTTAAATCTGTAGTAGTAATTACAGCTGTAGGGGTTGTCAAAGCTGTACATAAAGAATTGTATAAGTAGTTGAAAGGAAATTTATCAAAGAAAAACACAATACTTTTATGAGTTCAACTTCTTACAACTAGTCCATGCAAATACAGGAGTAATTAGAGATACAGACATAATTACTAGTACTAGTACCCGTTAATAATTCAATCCATATAGTAATAAGTTAAAATTGATCTCAACTAAATTGTGTATATAATCTGTTTTTAAATGTATAGGTACCTGTTATTACGCAAGATGAAAGCAGCTTTCTGAACTGCACTGTTTTTCAGGATTTAGAGGACGTCAGATTCTTTGATGTATTCTGGATCTTCAAAATAATCCACAAATCATTCTTTTAAAATACTTTAAGGTGTTGTAAATTATATATCATTTTAAGAACAATAAAAATGTTTTAAATTTCAGTTGTATTTTGTATATATATAAATGAACAATGACATTTTCAGATTCAACCTTATTTGACAGCTCTTTCCAAGATAATTGACCATATAATTGAGTTTCAATCACCTCCGTTTCATGAAAATTTAAAAGTGGGCATTTTCTAATTAATTTTAACTATTTTCTTTAATTTAAAATTTAAAATTACATACATTTTTACCTTCCTATGAAAATGAATTGAAAATAATCAAGCTCAAACCATTAACCACCAGATTAAAAAGATAGACCTTTCTGAAATCCTCAAATTTGAAAGGACAATTACCGGTATAAGCTGAAAACAACAAGAAAAGGCACTCCTAAACTATCCGTAAACTTGTTCATTAAAAAGTTTCCTAATTAATTATATTGATTTAGAATTGCTTCTTAATTCTGTTTTCTTATCTAGCTTTAACATATTACAAATATACATTGCACTAAACAGTAGACTTTTTAAGATATGGAATTTTCCATTTTTGCTTGTAAATAAATTGATTAACATCACAGAAGAGATAGTAATAAACCTAAATAAGTAGTTACTAAAATTGACTTAAAGATGGATGCATCAACTAGAAGAACAAAATAAGGGCTAAATGCACTACGTCGCTAATATTGTGGCAGGCGATAGTATCCGATAAACTCAAACCAACTAAAGATACATGCTAATAATAATAACAACCTAGTAAGAATATCGCAAAATGATTTGGTTTGTAGTACACTTTAAATACAATGAAAAGTTATTTTTTGTACTTACAAATGAATTTTAAATAGGATTAAAGAGTAAGACATGCTGAGTTCCAATCAATGTCTTCCTGTCGTTGAGCGGGAAATATTTAATTTCATCCAAATTCGCAAGGTAAAATCAAACCGACCGTTTCATTTATGGAACGAGCACAAACGCGCGTTTCAAGAAATAAAAAATTAAGAAAAGTTCCCAGAGTTTGAAAAATAGCTTTTCTTGCCAAATTCTTACCATTATAATACAAATAAGTGAAAATGGGCGTTTAATTTTTGAAACAAATTTTTACCGCAATTTGTTGCAATGGCATGGAATATCGCACTTTTTTTATTATGGCTAAACAAATTAGAGTTATCTTCTCTTCACTCATCGTAATATTACGGTTTCATGTCAAATAACATAACTGAAATTAAAGGATAAATTGATTACAGCTAGTAACCGTAATTTAACATTAAAAAAAGATTATTGTTTAATACCGTCATTTTCAAGTTAACGACAAATACATTCTAACTACTGTAGAATTTACCGATGTATTGGGATCTTTCTACGGTGTACTGTAAAAATGGTTAACACGTATGCGTGTGTGTTTGTGTATGTTTTTGTGTCCTTCCGAGAAGAGCAATCTATAGATATGAAAATAATATAATATTTGCTTTAAAAATTTACGATATTAGAATGTTTTCACGTGGAGACCACCCAAAGGAAACGAGTAATTATTATAAAATTGAGAATGCAAAACTAAGTGATTACCTGTAGCACCAATGACTTTCGTTATATTGTTACAATTTACTTCGCCATAATCATTAGATGTGATTATCGTGATCTTTAGTTGATTCCAGTTTAACAGTCCGCTGACGTTGAACCGGTATCTTACTATTTCCGTGCTTGTGTCTAGGACGGTACCAACAGCAATATCTTCGCTGTCATCATCATATTTTAAATTCGTTGTTGTGTTATGCATGATGACTTGGAAAGTTTGATTTTGTTCTGTGTTCTGCATTGCTTTCCAGGAGATAATGAAATAATCATCTACAGCGGATACAAAAGTTGCATTTGGACATTCAGGAAGTGCTGTTGTTGAGGTAATTAAAAAAATAATAAATTAGAAAGTTTGAGTAATAAAAACAAATAAAATACAAATTATAAGCATAAAAAGAAGATCGTTTGCCTGGGTTCATCACAAATAAGAACGTATATAAATCATTGTATATTAAAAATTGTATAAAACGTACTAAAATCAATGACCTCCTCCTAAGTAATTATGTAGTAGGTGCGGGAGAGGTTTATGGGTTCTTAAGTTAAGAAGTATACATTAAATTTGTTTTTTTTTAATAATTAAGTTTGAATTAACATGAAATTTAAAAAAAAAATCTTATTAGTACCTAAATTAGTCTAAATTAAATGGAGATATACTGAAGTTACATAACGACTCATACATAATTAGTCAAAAAGTTTGACTATTTTTTTAAAAAAGTAGACTACATATCGAATTTTAAAATTTATTATTTACGTCTATTCATCTTATTTATATTTCAGTTAATTTTTTTTTATATGTTAAAACTTTTGTTTGTTAAAATTGTGTGAATACTTACGAAACAAAGCAGCAACATGCGTTAAACTGTCATTGCCGAATGTTGTCTGTACAAAACATGTGTACTGCTCGTTTTCTTGAATATCGTCTACCTGAAGTTAGGATTAAAAAAAAATGTCTTCGAATTTCAATATTTTAAAGTCACATATCGAGAAACATGCTGCATAATTGCAAACTATGTGTGTGCACTTGCTGTAGCGTTCAGAAAGGCGTGGGGGGGGGGGATTACTGTCAACTTCAAGTTGATCCTCAACGGGCCCCTTCGTGCTTCGTTATAATTGAGTCTTCGTGGCATACAACCACGAACGTTGGCGTATTTCTCGGTATTTGACCGAATACTTCATTGTTAGGGTCATGCACACTAGGAAATGGGCCTGATGATCATGAAAGCTCTTCAAGCTACTTTCGATATCGTAATGATACATTATTCAATCCTCTTAGTGGAAAGTGTATTTCGTGAAATTAAAATAAATTTTGAAAAAACACTAAATATATTAATCATTCAACACATTTGTAATAATTTTCAAAACAAAAAAATAATTGTGTACTTATATTAAGGTAATCATAATATTCTTATGATAAACATTCAGTAAACGTAATTGCTTATTCGAATCATATGTTAGCTTTATACTGTTATTATTGTACAGTTTTAATACGTTAACATGACTTTGATAATACATTACAATTTGAAAACAAAGGTATATTATGTTCTTTATAATTAGAAACTTACGTAGAAATGTTTTGTTGTTGGTGATGCAGATGACTCCAGTACTCTTAACGGAATAGAAGTTATGTTTTTTCCCTGAGGTCCAAAGAGTTGAATTTCATCATCTCTGGGAGGTGGTCTAGCATTGACAGTGCAGTTGAATGTGGCGGCCTGACCAGGAGAGACTTTGTTATTCCCAAGATGGACAATCGCAGGAACTTTCAAAAAAAAAATCAATTCAATGTTCATTGCATGTGTTGATATCTTAAAATAACGTTGACAATAACTTCACGGATGGCACATTTTTTTTTTTGCATCCTGTTTGCTGCTAGCTTTGAATGATTCCCAGCTTGTGTTTGTGTCGTCAACAAGTTATTTGGTGCAACGCTACACAACAAGTGACACGTGATGAAAATAAAAAAGCTATTAATGAAATGTAAAGCACTTTCGTTTTGTTTAAAAATGATTGCTCAAAATTTCTTGACATTTACTTGAAGACATGCAGATCTCTCACGTGCCGTGTTTCGTTTCTAGTTACTGTATACTCAGACGTGTGACGTGAGTTTCTAGATAGCTTTTGATCTACAGTATTTTTCGGCGAAAAAGATTACCCCTACTTTCCTTAAAATGTAGGATTTTGGCTATACTCGACTTATAAAACTGCCCCTCTTTTAACGTACATCAAATAAAAAAAAAATTAGAATCATGTTTAATCGATTTCAATGTGGTAATTTAAATTCAAATGCTTATGACAAACAGGTACTTAGCAGGAAAACTGTCACTTATAAATGTAAAGCTGTTATTCATCAAACATGTTCTTATGTAAAAAAATTGCTTACGTCATAGTTCCCCGTGCTCTGAACTGTAGCAGACATTAACGAAGCACGAGACCGCATTTAAGGTGTGGCTAGCTAAAAATAGTCTATTAACCTAAATAAAGTCAATAGTATGTATCTATTCGAATTTCGTAGAAGAAGCTGGAGAAAACTGGAAAGGAAAACAATGCGTAAGGCGGTTCTAGATACATCAGTAGAGCAGAATATAAAAGGGTGACACGATAGATTTTTGAATGAGCATTTATCAGGGGATATTTCTACTTTACTGGACGACAGACGAGAGTGTGTTAATCTAGACTAAGCTGCGTTTACTTTATATGTGTGGATTCTTTTTCATCGCTGTACCGTTATTGCACATTGTATTTTCATCAACTCTGTATCGGTACAAGAAAAGCAGCACTCTACAAATAATAGATTTACTTATATGGTTTTTTGTTTTGTAATTTATAAGTAACTTAATACAATTTATTAATTGTAATTTGCCTTCGTTTGAGTGTCGCATTCTTTGTTATTGTATTTATCATTTGGTATCGTCTTTTGTTATGTACTGCTGTAGAACGAGCCATGCACTTAAATAGGAGATTAATTTCTCCATATAGATAGCAGTACGAAATACTTGTAAACATAAAACAAAGCACGTGGATTAAACTTTTCCTAATTCATCATAAGGCTGAAAGATATGAAATGACAATAAACCCAAGCTGCCATAATGTTTGTTTTCTAAGCTGTCAACAAAAATGGAACTGACAATGATAGGAGTAAAATAAAAACAATAGAGAGAGAGTGTCGTAAAAGTCCCTGAAGTTTCAGCCCGTCGTATACCCGACGACCCCCGACGTATAAGACGACCTCCGAATTCTGAAAATCTTTCATGGGCTAAAAAGTCCTTTTATGCGCCGCAAATTACGGTATAGAATGTATGCTCAACTTCTAAAAAAAAAGACGGTTTTATATTGAATCAGAATTGGAGTGAGACAAATTTAACAGTGAGAGACTTGAGGGAGAAATACTTTGATATTATTATTTGCAGAAGTAATTTTATATAGTGCGGTATTCGAGCCTATGGCTTAGCTCACCGTGCTGTACATACATTTTTTAGCAAAAATAATCGTGGCTTAAAAAATAGCTTACATTTATTTAATAAAAAAACAGCTGTATAAAAACAAAAAACAATACAAAAATTATATTCACAACACCCACAAAAGGAACTTTTACATGACAAGCCATAGAGAGCAGCCAGCAGCATCGTTTATCGGTCAGAAGGAGGAATCAGTCGGGATAGTGAAGTTTTAAAGACATGTTTTTTTAGTGCAGTTTTGAAGGCCTGTGTGATCGTTATATTGTGTATGAGTCATTGGAGAGAATTCCATTGTTTGGGGGCGAAGAAAGAGAAATATCGTTTACCATATGTTTTAGTGCGTCTCTTGGGATGGGAAATATACGCTTGTATCCGGAGGAGCGAAACTGTCCAAGGGGTGAATAGACAGAAAGAAGTTATCTTATGATGGGCAGGAGTCCGAGAAAATGTTGTGACAGAGAAAAGACAACTTGTAAACAATGCGTTCCCCAAGCAAGAGAAGCATTGGAGTGGTAAACATTGAGATTTGAATCAGGCCCAAAACGGATCAATGTGGCACACCGCACTGCTGGATTTGACAGCCTTTAACAGGTACCGCCTGCGTTCTACCAGAGAGGTAGGGCCTAAACCAAACAAAAACTGAACCAGAAATTTCAAAGTAAATTTTTAAGTTTTTTTTTGTGAGAGGTTTCAGGTTCACCACTGTCAAAAGCCGCACTGAGACCTCAGAGGATCAGGATGCAGACATTACAACTCTCAATTGCGCACAATATGTAATTGATGACTCTTAAGAGAGCTGTCTCTTTTCTGTGGAAATATCTATAGGCCGACTGATTGGGGTTGAGAAAAGAGTGGTCTTTTAAGTAAACAAAAACGTTGTTTTAGAACTAGTTTTTCAATGGGTTAAGAAGAAAAATGATAAGTTAAATACAGGTCTGGGGTTTGTTTTAGAATATTATCATCCAGACCAGGCTTCTGAAGCAATGGATTGAGAACATCTGAATTTCAAATAAGGGGAACCGTGCGAACAGAAAACATGTTATTGATAATGTTGGTTATCGTTGGGATCAAATGGTTTAATGACTCCACCAACAGAAGGGTGAAGATGGGGTTAAAAGAACATGACGTAGGTTTAGATTTTAGAATAATACGTGTGACCTCTTGTTCTGAAACAGGCTTAAAATATCAAAACGTGAAAAATCACGAGAAAAAAGGCAAATCTATGGTTGGTGCGTCAAGACGACCAAGCTCAGTGCTAACGCCACAAACTTTACTCGTAAAAATCACAGAAAATATCTGGTTGCTGGGCAAAGTAAACACTGAATGAAAAGCCGTTTCCTTGTTAACCCCTCTGAGGTGCCTACAAATATCAAATAACTGCCTGCTGGTTTTACCTATAATTATCTCTTGGCTCAAATGCAAAGTCTTCGAAAGACAAGCAATCTAAATGACACGCTTTTTGGAAGCGGAATAAATCTGCTTTAAATCCAAAAGTCCCGACCTCAACCACTTCTTTTCCACACTACGATGCTCTTTCTTGGTAATGTGTAATGATTCCGCTATGATCACATACCAGGGAGCTGAACCGTGCTGAGCACAACTTTCGACGGGTGACAGGGGAAATAAACGGTTTACCGTTTCTAAACTAGGTTTATAGAACGGGTGAAACTTCTAAATTCAGGTTGTGCTTAAAATCGTCCTTGTTTATAGTTCGCAGACTAACACTAAGTTTTCAATTAAGACAGTAGTGTTCAGAGGACAACTCTTTAATGCTTGAAGTAGTTCTAACAACACCGTCCTAAGGCCTATGTAACATCCAATCCAGAACATGTCCAGGATTATGAAACGGTTGGTCGACTGACTGCTAAAAACTACAAAAGTCCAAGAGATCCATCATCTTGGCAGTTAAGGTGTTCTGTGGTTGATAAAAGTAAAAGCTCATATCGCCAACTACAAAGTATTTTTCTTCTAAAGAGGTAAATATTAATAAAGATATCTTTTAAAACCTTTGTTAATGTAAGTAACATCTTCTACAAAATACATATTTTATTTAGCAATCTTTGTATAGTTAAAAAAAATAATTATAGAGAGCAAAACAAAGTTATTACATTAGGCCCATAGCAATCTATATGTAAGACATATAGTCTATGCTTGATACATTCAATCTTTTAAAAAAAAATCATATTTAAGAAAAAATATTTAACATTTATTTTCTGATTAAAATAAGAGAAAAATTCATGAAATAAAACGTTAAAAAATTTAGGCTTATTCTTACACTGGTTACAATAAAAATTGTGTTATAAGAAAGGCATCGTCCACTTAATACTTACAAAAACATTTTGATGTTTCCCCCACAAATCTGTCACAATGTCCTGGATTATTGCATTGGCATGTTTTGTCACAATCCCATCCGTACAAGTTTGGTCCACATGGAATAACTCATTGAAAAAATAATAAATAACTTTTAGAATAATGTAATTATATAGATTTTATTTAATTGTGTATTGTTTTAATTTGCTCAAACAATTTAAACATATAAGGCGAGTTAATTAACAGTTAGTTATTTTAATGTACCTGAGACACCTTAAATACTTTTATATTTAAATTACGTAACATAATATAATTTTTTTAGTTGACTGTTCTCAAAATGCTCTAAAGTATTATAATTTATCGTTTTTATATTTAAAGATCTTAGGATCATGCTGTCTAAGCTAAGCATTTAATGACCATGAATCAAGAAAATAAAATTACCCATTTGACAATCATCTCCTGTCCAGCCCATTGCACAGCCTGAATGACATTCGCCAGTTTCTTTATCACATTGTTCATTTACTTCTTTGCAATGACAATCTTTACTGCAGTAACTGCCATATGTACCTTGAGGACATTCTGAAATTAAGTAGTTAAAAAAAACATATTAACAGATATTGATTGACGCCTTACTAAAAGCACAGTAAAAATATATTTACTAACTATAGCCCTCAAAACAATTGCAGCGACAATAATTGTACTTCTCATCTACTACCTTTTTGTGTGGAAAAAAACTACTTTACAAAACATGCATTTAAGTCTAGCACTTTATAATATTCCCTACTAGTGCTGAACCCCCAACGATCCCCCCCCCCCAAACCGGAACGCGACAGGCCTTAAATTATAGTGCTAGTTTTATGACTCAAACCATTTTTACACCGCATATTTCTCACATTGTATTTAACTTTCTTTTTGGGTATATCAAAATAAAATATTACGCACCAAACGAAGTTGCAGATATTTTAAGATACGCATATGGTGCATTTTATTGAGTGAAAACGTTATTGACATAAGTTCTTAGTAAC